TATATTACAAGTTTTGAAATATCACTTTAAAACCGAATTATTGAGCATGATACATCACTATGTGATGTACAGACATCTATAGTACTATTCTAAACGCTATGGATAGGATCGTTTCACAGCAGATGTAAATTATAGAAACCAATAACATAAATTAGATCGTAAATACGACCCAGACTGGTGCGCAGGTACAAACCTGTTTCAATCTCAAAATTAAGACGGAAGCTTTCCGATCTGACGTAAACCGAATATTAATTGCCAACAAGATGGCACGATAATTACTTTGGCCGTCATTAAAGATGAACGACAATTACACAACATTACACAAGATTGTTCTCAAATACACAATCCCAAATATTTGGTTTGATGATAGAAGTTTTCAAAGCTCAAAGAAAACGTGATGAAAGTAATATCGAACATAAATAACTGGCCGGGTGTTAGTCACGATTGTGACTCATATGAAAATTTTGTGACGTACGCTCTGGCGCTTACCGACTATCTTGACTCATGCATCTTGGCTCAATTTCCTTTTAACATTATAGACTTTATCTTAATTCCTATTTATGGCATTTAGATTACAGCAACCTTCCAAAATAGAATTGGTATAAAAACGTGAGGCGATGCAAAGAACTGTGCGAACATTCATGTTCAACGCCGACCCATTTTTCGTTTTTGCCATGCGATTTTTGTCTTTTTACTCGTATCCTACGTGCTTCATTGTTCAGATTCAAGCTATCGATTCGCAGTCAAATTGCCGGAATTGTAAACTGCGTTCGGACTATCCATCAATTTCAATTTCAATATTAAACACCAAATATGTCAAACGAATAAAACTTGCAACTTTTGTTTACTATCGTGAGTGATTGCTCGGAGTAGTACCTCTTGATACATTACCCAGAATGTATCAGTGTTCCATATCTTTGTATAAGGTACACAGACCAGCCACGTGTAATTATTTGTACAATCACTTATCTGCCGCAGATATAGAGATAATCCAGTACAATTTCGCGCGAGCGTAATTGGGTAGTTTCCAACCTAGTTAGAACAGGTTATCGTACAACAGATAAGTATAATAGATGCTGAACCACAATGTGTCATGACCATAATATCAATTACACTTTCGATAACTTATCATCTTATCATTCAATATCTTTCATGTTATAATTCAATTTGTTCGTAAATGTATAAAACAATTAAGTTTGCTATTTGTGAAAATAGATTTCACAGCATTCCGGTTGAATTGTGAAATGCGTTTAATTTCCAATATTGAAATGTTAATTAACGTGTGGTTATAGGAATACGTTTCATGGAAATATTACTCTGTGGCCATTAGATGTAAGTTCGATATTCTTTATGTGCACGTGGGTACATTCTCTTTTGTGATTGGTATCAGAGAATACCTTTGATTTCTGTTTTTACAATATTGAAAAATTTAATTAAATGTTTCTGTAAAAATGTTTTGATCCTTTGACTGCTTCGTTACTATATATTCGTTAGTGTGTAGTTCCGTTTGCCAAAACTAGTACCTACAAAAAAATGATGTGACAATTTATAAAAAAAAATGCAGTACGTAGTTGGATAAGTTAGTAACTAAATCACTTGAATTTTGACATACTACAAAGTAGTTAAAACTAACAGCATTAATTCTCGCATTTCGACATTAACAAATTTTCATTTAAAATTCAGAAATATTCTATTTCTGGTTTCATTTCGTTGTAGAAAGGTCACTAGAGACTGTACTGACATTATTCATCTCCCCGCTGTTAATAGTTTCTGCGGTATGAGTGTGTGAATAATGATTTAATATTCACATTACTCTTTAGAAAATTAATGAGCTCGTGGACTTGTAATGAATTTAGTTTAATAGCCAAGACGTGAAAGATTAGGGAGGGTCCAACCTCTGTCATTGTGATGGTGGCATGTGTACAAAATATTTAATGAGTCTGTTATTCTCCGTTTGTCTATGTTGCACCTGTCTGCGTGCAGCATTTCATCAATATGGACGTTAGAGAATTGCCTGGATGTTTTCCAACTATCAACGCGTGTCGATTTAATCGTACAATAGATGCGAACATAAATAACAATGTACCTACTGATTTCTATTCACATATATTCGAAACAGGCATGTTTGTTAGAAGTTTCGCTATTCAGAAAACAATTTTGTTCTGTAATCTTCCTTTTGTTGTAGAGAAACTGAATGAAGGAATACGTTTCTAGGTATAAAATCTATTCTATTTTTATTCACGTATTGTTCCTTTGGTTAGTTATTCCTGAAACCGAAAGTGTGGTAAGGAAATTTTATCTACCTTTTTATGTATCTACGGAATTTTTCAATATATCGACAGGTTAGGCCTGTTATATGGGATCAAACAGTTTCATCATGGAAGAATTTAACCGATTATTTGGTTTCCGGATCTTTTCAAGGAGGTGTTATGTCATAGATGTATGTTATCACCGGAGTGCTCTCTATAGCGGTGAGGTTAAACCTGGTAAAGGTTATATATTGTGCCACTGTTGAGCTTAACTCCCTCGAAAATAACACAAAAAAATTTAGGCAGGAGGATTGAAATATATATTTGAAATGTTTATAAAAACAATTTACTTTTTATCTTTATAAAAAGCTGTTACGGGTACTATGAACTGAATCTGATATTAACATTTCACGTTAAAGTTTTTATTGTAAACCGACGAATAAACATATTATGTTCGGCCATATTGAAATAACATTGGGAGTGTATTTTATTTCGAAAGCAGAATATATTTGACTAGTCTGTTCAACTGCATATATCTATTATTGATTTTGTTAACCTATGTATTTACTAAACATATATTTGTGGGTGTATGTATATGAATAGGTAAATTATATGTATTTGAGTTGCTTAGTAATTTGTTTTGTACGTGGGTTTGAAGTTATTCTGTGACGTCATAGAAAATGACGTTCATTGAAACAGTATGTCTGGAAATTACGTTATTATGCACTCATCTTTTACTTACCTGTTAAATTAAGTTAAGTTTCCTTGTCATTAGGTTTGGAATTTGGGATTTCCGATTATCTCAATAATATCTAGCTAAAATTAGCTAGCTTAGCTAGCCAGCTAGCTGTTTTTCATAATACTTCGTAATATGAAGTTTATGTATCTTATACCTCCAAATAAACTGTAGTTCCTAATATACTCCACGGTATAATAAATTTAGCATCGTTCCAATTACATCGTTATTAAAATTTCTCACATGTTCTTCTGAAGTTTATCACATCATAAAGTAATTTGTAGATTACCAAACTTCTACACATCGTCACGTAATATTTATATCAAGCTATAAATAAATTTATCAGTGATATCTAATAGAATTGTGTTTTATAAGTAACTATGACATTCAAGTATAGTATGGGCTCGTAAATAATCCAGCTACATGAATATTACATGCATTTACTTGCTACTAAATATTTCCTAAAGAAAAACTACTAGAGAAGCATAAAAGGTGAAGGCAATAAAACGTACGCACTATGAAACGTGTGTCATAAGACATGTGTATGAGTGTAGGAGAAATAAAATATGTAAAGATATCGCATGTTCCAGGGCTAATAATATTTTCTACAAAATGTGGACTTAATAGACTTGTCTGAACTTGAACATTTTGTTCAAAGTTTCTTAGCTAGAACTCGAACTCACAGAATGTTTTACCGCTACAAAAACAATAGGTACACCTATAAATACCTTGGTTTACGCACACAAGAAAATTCATTGTGTTTGTAATTAACTTTCGACAATGTTTTAATGCAAATAAAACAAGCTCAAAAAGTCGTATAAACATAGAGCAGTGGTAAAGAGTTTTACTTTTACTTTGCCACTGACGCACGTCGTTATAAATGTATTTCTCTTGGCAAATACAATCTTATGTGTATTCCAATTTTTGGCTTCATTTATTTAAGAAGTGTCATGTTTGTGTTTTGAAAGTGAACTAAAGATATTCATAATTTAACTCGACGTCAGAATAACACTCGACATTATAATTATTGTCTGTCGAGACCGAGTATGTCGTCAAGCGTTCTCTGCACGTCAAAAGTTTTTATTATATTTTTAAAAATCTGACATGCTTTAAGCTAAAAGATATATGACAAAAAAATATGTAGGAACGTGATGTTTTGTGTCTCTACGTAATTTTGTGTGTTGAAGGGAATAAAGATAAAAAAGAGCATTAAAAATGAGCACCTTTCTAAAAATACTTCCGAGGCATCCGAGTCGCTACGAGGCAGTATAAGTTTGGGTAGCACCATGCCTTTCTTGCGCCGACCCCGTATACCAGAAGGCGAAGGCCACTGCAGCTCCGTGATAGCCATGGGGCTGTGAGGACTGAGTATTGTTAGGCGTCGCTCGGGGGGAGGCAGGCTGAGCTGCTGCAAGGCACGTCGCTCGGTGCTCGCGAATAACCCGCGGCGTTTCTCAGCAGAAGAGCCCATGTCTTCCCCAGACAATGCTCGCCGCGCCGGCGCACCGCGCGTCTCCCGCACATCCCGCTCGCTAGCCGTCAAAAACGAGCTTCGATGCGTGCGAACGGTTGTGCAGGAGCTAGAAGGGCGCGCCGGCGACGATTCTTTGCTTGGACGGAGACTTTCCATGGAGCGGGCACTTTCGACACGCGCCGCGACTAAATATTGTCCGCTTGTAATTGTCGTTTGTGCTACCTCGCATTCTTCTTGGCTCGAACTCGAAGTACCGCTTCGAGAAAACGTACTTGTTTTCGAGGCAAAACTTCTATCACTATACTGAGCTGCCGAGATACTTGACGTATTAGCATCGCCAGACTCTGATGACGCTTGTTGACGCACGTAGCCCTCCTCTAGCGAGGCGTGGACAACTCGTGCGTTCAACGAACTGAAAGCTGCGAGATTAGGCCGTCGGCTCTTTCGTTCATCATCTTCCTCCTCCATTTTTAAAACCTTTTCCTATAAAACCTCACTATCACATGTAAATCGAACACAGCACTATTCAATACACCATATATGCATTTAAATATATTTATTGCATACTTATCAAATTTCTCTTACATAAATAGATAAAATAAAATACTTAATAAGGAACACTGGACACAGTCTTTATCACTATTTGAGACCACCACACGCGCGGGATAAGGCAGACACCTGAAACAAAATGTATAATTGAAACATTTCTCCACAATTCAAATGATGTTAAATAAAGGACAGGTAATGATAGGGTAGAGGTTTGGGGAAGGACGGAAAAAGAATTAGGGATTTTCGTGTAGCTCGAACATTAGTAAGAAAGTACTGTAATTAAGGATGGATCAATAAGGCCATTCGGTTGCGTTGTTGGTTACATTAGAATCTTGAAAATTCCGTTTAAACACAGGCATGTTGTTAATAGCACCAGTTAGTGTAGAGATTTGTTTTAATTACGTTCAGTTAGCAGGCTTGGAGTCGAGCGCCAGCTGTCCCGCCTCGTTCGCGCAGTCCGTTAAAGCTTTTACTTGGGCGGCGTTCAGGCCGGTGGCTTTCACTTTGACGTCCGCGCTCTTTGAGTGCTCTTTGCTCTCACTGCTTGACTCCACCCTGTTGGTGGTCTCGTTTCCAAACTCATCAATAAAGGTTTCCTCTTCGAACGCTTCTTCATAGCTCTCCTCATAATGTTCACGGAATTCTTGTCTCGCCTGGATGGTGACTTTTTCCGTTGTCTGTTTCTGTTGGATCAACTCATCCATGGTCTTCTTGACGAGCTGCTGGCCGGCTTCGAGGTGCTGCTTGCTTTCAGACATCTTGGCAGTAGAATCTACAATGATTCGAAATATGTATGTAATTGTCTTGTTTTACAAACTGGTTTAGTTTAAACTCCTGACTCATGGGATCTTGTTATTGTTTGCCTGTTTACAAATGTCAGTTCTCATAAAACGTATAAAATTAACGTTTAATGTTGTTTTGGAAAACGGGGAAACAAAAGAAATGTAAAATCGTTCATTATGCATCAGAATCCAGAAAGCTCAGTTTGATAGAAATTGATAGCGCTGGCTGGCGGCGCGCCAGACGGAATGTTTGGACCACATTTAAATTTACGTTGTTAGAGAATTTCTGAGTACGACTGCGTTGCCATCGTCTGTGTTTTTCCCACAATAACAATCGAAAGAATGTGAACTGTGTCATAATTTAATGCGGAATATTGACGAGGCTTTGAAGAGAAGACATAAAATAAAATGAAAAGCAATGTTGGAGAGAATATAAGTCGGTATCGGACATTAGAATGCGGCAACATTGTCACGCGCACTGTAAGTCTCGTGCTTTATTTATGAGCTATGTGATTCAGTGATGTACATACACCACACGGACATAAACTAAACAATTTCTAGAAATATGCTATGAAATACGAACAAGCAGGTTTAAACACATTGTGTTATTGTGATTTAATTTATTGTTGTTCTATCTTTAGTTAAATGTGAGTAATATACCTAATGTTAGTTGGATCAGATTCGAATGAGATAGATAAATTTTAAGAAAATATTTAAAATAATTAGCTTTAAAATATATTTCAATTTATAGCGGCTTCACTAGGCATGTAAATATCATTCGTGAAAATGTTAGGTATGTACTTATACAATTGAAACTATATTGCCAAAGTTTATTTAATAGAAAAATTCCTACCTATCGGAAACGATTACGATAACGAACTATTCATAAAATAGAGATGTTTATTTCACTGAATACCGTAGTAAGCCAGGTTAGAGATTGCAAATATTATTTTTGAGTTAACACAATGGAATGTTTAAATGGTCCGTGTCATTTGAGTCCGTCCTTGTCTCACCGGCCTGGCTACACGACAATAGGAATTCGTGTCTATTAAAAACGTGCGAATACCTGTGTCAGTTCACTTGACCTATATTATTAAACACAACTAGATTCTACATTTTTAGGCGACTGTTGCGATGTCAACTTTAAGTTTCAAATCTTTGAGTTTAACTTTGAATAGAGAAAATGTTATTACTTACAATTATTGGAGTTGAGTTTTAATAAATTAAATTACTTAGTTATGATTTTGTTTAGGTTTTAGTTAGGGTTAGAAATTTATATTTCTAATTCATTTAAGACGATTTCAGTACTTTACTAATATTTGTTTAATGTTGATTAGTTTTTAGGTTAAAATGATTATTTTATAATTTACTAACTATTCGTTACCTATCCGAAAGCTTTAGAAAACTGTACACGAAGCTTAATTAACGAAATGAATAAATACCTTTTAGAAAGTAAATAAAATGAGTCCAATATTGTGGTGCAACACTGAGTTTAAATTCTGGGATATTCTGGAGTTGTTTCCTTGCGCAAGCTCGCGAGTGAACTGAGTGGCGGGAGATCCCGCGTCGCGCTTTGTTGCGTACGCGCCGCCTTGCGTGGGCGGCCTTTGCTACGTGGCACTGCGTCTGCGCCGCCCGCCCGAAATATGGCCAGAATTATTCACTACATCTGTCTTGGCAAATTAACCATTTTGTTAATTAATTTTGACAAACATACTATGATTCATGTGAGTATTTATAATTCATGACTTGGTTTGCCCATCAACCGTGACAACTCTTAAAGAACTGCATTCTAGATAATGCTTTGGACGCCCAGATGGTTTCCGTGTAGTGATTTAAAGTGTTTATAGTGAATTAATTGCACTTATCTGTCAAAATTGAACATTTTTGTTAGATTAATTACGCTAATTCACGAAAGTCGTTGTGTGAATGTGTGCCAAAAATAGGAATATGCGTCAGAAGAAGGAGATTCGCGAGCGATGACTCCAAGCGATGGAGAGGGCGATAAACAGACGGCGTTATGAATAATGATTGGCAAAGCTCGCACTGACTAACTTTATCACTTGCATCGCGAATCAAACCCACGACTTCTGGAAAATATACGGAAAACAAGAATTTGCTGAAATCATTGTTTACGGACTACCTACTTGTGATGAGTTGAAATTGTATTTATAACACATTGTGTCAGTATTGGTATTGGGTCGTTTCTTTAAATATACTTCAGCTAATTTGTGTCACTAGAATGGAATTTTGAGTATATAGTAAATACGAGTAACTTTAAATATTTCTATAAAATGTTGTTATCCGAATGAATTTTTGAGTATGTGGAATGAATAATATAAATATAATATTATGGAATATTATATTTATATAAATATCATATATCAAGGTGGACAGACGACCTCATTAAGGTCGCAGGGAACCGCTGGGTGTAGGTAGCTTCCAACCAGTCTATCTGGAAGTCATTGGGGGAGGCCTATATTCAGCAGTGGACGTTCTGTGGCTGATATGATGATGATGATGATTGCATATCAGGTAAAATATCACCATGGCACTTTAAGGTATACATTTTAATGTTATAGAATTCAATTTTCAAAATCATTTTACCACTTCTTGCTACTAGATTAACAAAGACTTTAATTAGTATTGTTACCTACGGATTTTTTAATTATAGGAAAATATACTATTACAATTTCGTAGAATAGTAAATGAGATCTTGCTTACCAGTTTTGACAGATAAAGTACCAAGATCAGTAACATAAGTAAGTAATTAAGATATTCTGTTTGAACTACTATTGTAAGTTGAAAGCTCGGAACGACTTGGAAACCTATACTTTGATGTTAGAGTTGAATTCCCAGAATTATAGCTTAGTAATTAACAGCTTTTACACCTAGTAGATTGGAATGCATAATTTTTAAGCCATTTTACCTTCGTTATTCTATTTACTTATCTATATATATAAAATTCAAAGGTGATTGACTGACTGACTGACTGATTGACTGACTGACATAGTGATCTATCAACGCACAGCCCAAACCGCTGGACAGATTGGGCTAAAATTTGGCATACAGATAGATGTTATGACGTAGGCATTCGCTAAGAAAGGATTTTGATAATTTCCACCCCCAAGGGGGTAAAAAAGGGGATGAAAGTTTGTATGAGACTTTGTCAGTTTTAAACCGATCGGGTTGTAATTTGGCATGCAGATAGATGTTATGACGTAAGCATCCGATATGAAAGGATTTTGATAATTTCCACCCCCAAGTGGGTAAAATAGGGGATGAAAGTTTATATGAGCCTTTGTCAGTTTTAAACCGATCGGGTTGTAATTTGGCATGCAGATAGATGTTACGACGTAGGCGTCCGCTATGAAAGGATTTTGATAATTTCCACCCCCAAGTGGGTAAAATAGGGGATGAAAGTTTATATGAGCCTTTGTCAGTTTTAAACCGATCGGGTTGTAATTTGGCATGCAGATAGATGTTACGACGTAGGCGTCCGCTGTGAAAGGATTTTGATAATTTCCACCCCCAAGTGGGTAAAATAGGGGATGAAAGTTTATATGAGCCTTTGTCAGTTTTAAACCGATCAGGTTGAAATTTGGCATGCAGATAGATGTTATGACGTAAGCATCCGCTTTGAAAGGATTTTGATAATTTCCACCAAGGGGGTAAAATAGGGGATGAACGTTTGTGTGAGGCTTTGTCAGTTTTACACCGATCGGGTTGAAATTCGGCGTGCAGATGGATATTATGACGTAAACGTCCCTTTAGAAAGGTTTTTGAACATTCTCACCCCAAAGTATGATACTTTGCCAGTTTTAAATTGATCGGGCTGAGACTTTGCATGCATAAAGTTACTATGACATAGGTATCTCTTTAGAAAGGATTTTGATAAATTCCACCCCTAAGGGGATAAAATAGGGAATGAGAGTTTGTATAAATCTTCTTAGCCGTTGAATTTAGAATCATTGAATCTTTTTGAATTACATTCGGTAAAACGATGATTTGGGACCTGGGTAACGTATGATAGTTTTTTCACAGATGTCTCACGAGAACGGGAACTATGCGTCAATGCCCCAGGACTCTCTAACTCTTAACCACTGAACTTATTCTAGAGAGATTCGGTACAACAATAGTCGATAGAATAGTTTTTATTACTCAAACCTTACGTGATCGGGCACTGTACTGGTAAGATCCCTGCGGGATTATTTATTTATTGAAACTACGATAAATCATTTCAAAATAGGTAAATCTTACTTGGGCACTGAATTGATTCTGGTTAATTCTGTCAGAAGTCATTAATCTACGCGGACGAAGTCGCGGGCAACAGCTATCTACACATATAATAAATCGTAGAAAAGTCAAAACTGTACATTGAATATTTTTTAAAAGAATATTTGAAGCGTGATCTCTAATCGATACCGAAGCCAATAATGTGGTTTTTAGAATTTTTGTCTGTTTGTCTGTATGTATGGCCGTGATGATCTCAAAAAGTACTGCACTACTATTTCAAATTTTGCATGAATATTACTAACAAGTCTGGTAAACATATAGGCTACATATTATCACGCTATCATCTACGGGACTGAATCAATTCTGACGACATCCATTACCGTAGAATATCCCTTGATAAAAACTAATTCAAAAGCCTAAATTCTGCCAGAAGTCATTATTCTACGCGGACGAAGTCGCGGGCAACAGCTAGTTCTTTTTTATAAAGTGAGTGGCATTTTACAAATGAATGAATGAATAATTTATAACTCCGCATAATACGAGAGAGGTTGATTTAAAAATGTAGGATTTTATTCAATACCTTTTTCAATATATTATTAGGTTTTGTATAAAACATAGCCTAAGATAAATATAAGAGGTACACAGAGGTTTAATGTGCCACCCCCTCTTTATCAGTTATACATTTTCTGTAATAATAAGCAGGTTTAGTCAGCGAATATAAAAAATTTTCATTATAATTATGTAGTGAGTATTCAATAAATGCTAAAATTTTTTAAGCATTATGCAAATATTACATTTTTCTTATCAACAGTCGCACGTATGCAATTTGTCTAAAGAGACAAAGACAAAACGTTTTAAAGTTTTTGATTGCGATGTAAAATGTTTGTGAAAATAATGTAAATCTATTGCAGCTCGTTAATAACCAGTCATTTAATATTTCCCTAATAAATTCTGTCACACGTCCCGTGGTCCGGTTTCCAGCGAGGTTTATGAACCATCACGAATTGATGTCGTTAACTACGATGTAATTTATATTCCACATGTCTAGAAATAAACATAATAAACATTAAACTGAATAATTTATGCTCCAAAGTTCATAATTGTGTCAATTTTCGTTTGAAGCATGGGTAAAGTGCTTGGCGTATGTAATAATTTTAGGGCATTCCTGGTTTATATTTATACATTTTGTGAACGATATTAATATAAAGAAGTGTTATACCTCGAAATACTTGATCGCCGTCATTATTATATTTCTTTTAAATATTTAAATAGTTAACCTCATAAACGTGTGAAGATAAGTAATAATTCTTACACACATATACACACAATCAAAACAAAAATAAATTCACAATTATTTTGAAACTACTAAACCAAATAGAACTTAAATAATATTCCAATTCTATACACCAAATATTAAACATTAAGGCTTCAGACCGACACTATATAGACAATTACAAGTACGTTAGCAATGGCTGTCCAGGTCCACTTAGATTACAAAGCATTTAACAGCTGACAGGGAGATTCAAAGCCCGCTGTCATTTATACTGTTACTCGTCTAGTGTAATATTACACTATTTATTTACCTCTATAGTATGTTCTAGTAGTATCTGTATATATAAAGTCATTGAACTCACAAATAACAAACTTTTAAGGCGATAATTAATAAATGCATGTGAAATCAAGACTTTCCAATTTTCTAATTATAAGTACCTAGATGTTATAAGCTCCTTGTATTTTAAGTGGTAATTTTAGTTCTATACATTGGGAATGTTTTCAGAGTAGGTATTTTCAATAAGGTACTCGTAATCTGACAAATACAAAAACATTTTTTGTCCAGTCTTGCGAATCGTGCGAATATTCCACCATAGCTGTTGGGTGACCGCACGGTTATAGGGAACAACTCTTTGTGTGATCTACAGATAGTTGTTCGGGATCTGGGTGTTATTTGTATGTGAACTTGTATATTTGTAAACCAACACAGGAAAAAATCCTAGCGTGGAGTTACGTTAAAAAAAAGTGTAGATGTCACATAGTGTATTATGCATATTATATACTAACGACCAACCCTGGCTTCGCCCGGGTGCAATATGCATGTATTATACATATAAACCTTCCTTAAGAATTAAGTACTATATCCATTAAAAAAACCGCATCAAAATCCGTTGCGTGGTTTTAAAGATCTAAACTTACATAGGGACAGACAGACGGCGGATAGCGACTTAGTTTTATACTATTTATTATATTATTTATTGATTATTGATAACTATTATGAATTTACATCTCGAAATATTATAACGTAGTGGTCCCTGGTCATCAAGTTTCTAGATGTTTCA